CGGACACCTATTCGGTATGGTGTGGTCGAATTCATGTGGAATTACCCTTATTCTTTCAGAGATGTTATCAATTTATTCATTTCGGGGAAACTACAATTAACTTTCTGTAGAAATAAACGTTGATGAAAATATGTCGATTTTTAAAAGCGTAACTCCGTCTCGAAAAACGTTATTCCGTCACGACAATTTTTTCTACATGTGAGACGAAGCTACCATATATTTTGAATTGTTTTTTTTTTATGTATAGCTCGTCATCTCAGCTACAACTTTTCTATAGAAAAGTTTTTAATCACAGTTGTAGATGGTCTAAAATTTTTAGTTCTTCACACATCACTGAAACTCAGAGTCCATTTTTGGTTATTCCGTCACGGGCATGTATTTCAGCCATAAAAATGTAAAAGAAAGACAAGAACTAGTGAAACTTTTATGCTGTGTAGGACAGCCCGACTTATATATGTTTTCAAAAAATCAGCCCTATTACAGTTCAGTCTGTTAATATATTCCAGAGATAAAGTGAAAAAACGTTATTCCGTCACTCTTGGGCAGGTCGTATTGTTTCTGAAAAAAATAATTCAATTTTAGTCTGTTGTTTTTCACATTTAGAATCCATGAAACCTTCGGGACAAAGACAATAGTATTTAGTTTCAGGAAATTTTTCATCAGCAACACATTGACCAGTATTCAAACAAGGATTCGAAGTGCACACAGTACTTGTTAGATAACAACGTGGTCCAAATGTACCATTAGGACAAATACATATCGATCGATTTTGAACAACTCCAATACAGATCGAACCTGATGAATAATCACAAGAATTCTTAATTGTACATAAAATTCCAGAATAGCCATCCAAACATTGACAAAAATATTTATCCGAGTTTAAAAAATATCTGCATTGGCCATGTAAACATTACAATAGACAAGTATTTGATATATTATAGTCAACAATCAATTAAACACCAACTCTAATATGAGCATAAATTTTCTTGTCTTTTGTTTTTTTCTGAGATATAAAACACTAGCCATGCGTCTCTCCTTCTACATCAGCCTTTTAGTATGTCTTGTTTTGGTTAGTGTTAAATAAAGGCCTTGAAATCCAAAAAAAACTAAACTTTCGTTGATGTCATTTTCTTTCGACATAATATTTCCAATGGTGATCATTGCAACCACTAAGAATGCGCAAAAGCATGCCTATCTCATTCTCAAAAGTAAATTTGTCGATAAGTAATCTTAAATAAATAACACTGTGCACATCTGACTATATAAATTTATACGAGTAAAATATCTTGATTATATGTGCTGACAATGTGGCTCTTTCTAACTTTTATTGTTTTTACAATCTCCTGTCATGCAGATGAAATGCAATTCTGGCTAACAGATCCTGACC